ATCTATTCTCATGCATCGGCTACAATGCAGGCTTGAACTGCCTTGTCCTGTACCTGGGCTCCTCTCAGGGACACAGTGGCCTGCATCCTGCTTCCTGATTCTGGCTCTTCCAGGGGTAAGCCCCAAAGCAAGGCACTGTGCTCTCTGAGCCTTAGTGTCCTAATCTGTAATGTGACAACACTGACTCCTATTTCTATGGTAGCTTCAGATTCAAGGAATTTGGTGGAAACCTCAGAGAAACTTAGTAAATGCTTTTAAAAATATAATAATTAGTCTGATACCTTCTGAAAATGGGCAAAATACTTTTATATCCCCGTGCTGACTCCCATCTCTGCTGGCTGAGTAAGCTGGTAGCATCATAGCAGTGTTTCTTTCTCAGAAAAACTCCCTCTGGGTCCCACCCCCTTGGGTCTTTGGCTGCTGTTTGTAGTTGGATGCACCCCTCGATTGAAACAGTAAGCTTTTTGAAGACAGCAAAAGGACCAGGAGTTTCTTGATGTTTCTCCAAGTGCCTGCTACAATTTTGAGTATGCAACAAATGTTTGGTGATGCTGTTTAACCTCAGTAAAAGTGTTGGCTGAGCCTCTCTACTATGTGGGTCACTCTTGATCAGCTCGTGGGTGAACGTGTATAGGAGAACCTAGCATGGATGAGACAGAGAATTAATATTTATACTACTCGGTAAGTGCTAAAATCCAGCACTGGGTATTTTTCTCTGCATCCTTCATCTCCATCAGGCAGATATTTTCACCTTAATCTCCTTCAGGCCCATGTTACCCTTCCCATTTGCCAGAGTAGGATAGTGAGATTCCAGAGGAGTAACTTACAGTATGTTCCCAAGAAGGGACCAAAGTTATAAGAGCAAAGCCAGACTTGCAGGACTTCTACCTCACCTCATTGCTGCCCATGCTCTCTCCCTGACATTCCTTGAGGCAAGACTCAAATATATTTCTATATGATCAAATGAGTAAGTGAATCAGTATGTAAATTGCTTTACCACAAGATATCTATGGTTTGCATTTCAGTGGAGGCACAAATTATTGTGGACACAACAAGGAATAGATAATAGCAACTCAAAGTAAGGCAGCAAAAGTATAATTTGCTCACTTTTGGGTTAATGGGATATAAAGTCAGAAAATCAATTACAAAGAAATAAAAGGTCCCTGGGTCTCATCTGCCTTCTAATGCAGGAATTTTCTGTAGTATAGAATGTTTCTAGTAACACCATAGACACATGTTCTTTCTTCTAGCCCTCATACTACTGCCCTGGAAATGGTTAGTCTAAGTCTTGCCTTCAAAGGATGAACCAAATAAATTGGTTGGTTGACTGGGCCTTGTACTCCCTAGGAGAGTAAATCCCAGACAGTCTCAGAATCTCCATGTCTTCCTTCCATCACTGCAAAGGAGAAAGGTGCCTGTTTGGAGAGGAGGAAGTAGGATTTGGTAGAGAGGTCAGGGGCAACAGCAGAAAGGAACAATATCTATAGTGCACTTTGGCAGCCTTTGGTGCAAAGCATTAGAGAAATGTGACAGGTGGAGACAAAATAAGAACAAGACAAGATCTCTGCAAGCCCTTGAACTAACCCATGTATCAGCTTCCCAGAAGAGAGATAACTTGATTCTTTCAGTTCATTTCCATTTTTGTTCTGTCTCAGGAACTTCTTGATTCCAGCTGGGCTGGGAAGGTACGTGGCCAAAATATCCAAAGAATGTCTCTTATTATAGGATGTTCAGCCCAATTTGCACAACCAGAAAGTTTTGATACTTCTGATAACGTTTGGACACGAGACTCGATGTTTGGACTCAGCTTTACTCTAACCAAATTTGGGAATCTTGTTTGAAGAGATTGGACAAGAGCGACTGGAAATCATTAGAAGCGGCAGGTTCACACAAAATCAAAACCGACGTCTTCATTAGTATTCTAAGCCATGTAACACAAGGAGTGTGGTGTGCTTACAAGGGTCACGAGAGCCGGCGGACTTATTCTGATAAGGCTGTACCTCTGGACGGAGTTCTCACCCCTGTGTCTTGCACAGTGGTAAGGTCAGAGCCTGGGTCTTACAGCCTTTGGCTCCCTTCCTAGGTCCTAGGAAGAGGTAGCCTCGTACCTCTGATAAACACCTGTGTTTATTATTTTTGCAGCATCAGAGAAAGACAGAGAGTGGGACACACTGGCGTATAAAGAAGAAGGGGACAGCTGTGGTCATTTCATCTTTCCCCAGGGAAAGGAGTGCCCAGGGGCCCATAGAACAGGTCACTGTGTCCTGGAGCGGGGACAGCTGAGTTTCCGGCCCCTCAGGGGGGCCTCATAGGGATACCAGCATTGAGATCTGTCCTCCTCGCACGCATGGCTGCTTTCCTAGGAATCCAGTTACTTTCGACTTTCAGATGTGCCCTCACATTCCTGAGCTCCTCCTGTGTCTTCCACGAGCTCCTTCTAACTCTAGATTTTCCCCGTCAGGGCTGTGGGACTCCCTGAGGAAACCACTGGGCTACTCAGCTTCTCCAAGGTAGACACGAATTCTCACCTTGCAGAATGGAATGAGTGGCCAGCACAGGGCTTCGTGGCCTCAGTCACTACCAGCTCCTTCCCCCTAGCCTCCTCTATCTGCTTTGGTCACTCTCTGGAGTCTATTCATGGGGTCTAGCTCCTATGGGGTCTATTCATGTATGAATTTGTGAGTGTGTGTGTGTGTGTGTGTGTGTTAGAAAGAGAGAGGAGAGTATCAGAAGAGGCAGAGGCACATGGTGTACTTTTACATCTGAAGAGCAACTTCCAGGAGCCTCCCTCACCCCATCAACATCTTCACTGGAGGCCCTGACAGGGTGAAAATGAGGTACCAGTCTCCACTAATCACCGCGCAAGGTAATGAAGGGCACAGTCTCCTGCGTCTCTGCTGTCAGAGGGAGCTGTTTCCATGTCAGGAATAGCCTTTACCCTGAATTAAGCAGGCTCTGATGTCTGTGTGTGAACACGCGTGTGCACACATGTGAGCACATGCACCTGTGTGCATGATGGCAGGGGGAGGTGGGAAGGATTCCAGGCACCAGCCTTCATATGAGGAACGTGGGAGACTTTTGTTCTACACCCCTGGCCCTGCACCCAGCCTGCGCGCAGATCCCCTCCCTGACCCTGTATTCTCCAGTGAGCTGATCTCATTACGGCAAATTTAGTTACAGCTGAAGTCTCCTTGTAACAAAGATTATGTCCAAGCCCAGAGTAATGGAACCTAGTCGATTTCATTAAAATAAAATTGGTTACAATGAATAATTCAATAGGATGATTTTGTTTCCTCATCTCCTCTTTGTAGATCGAAGAGCTAGTATTTATAATGATTTTTTCTAAATTGGATTTTTGTTTAGGAAGAGATAATCACCCATAATTCCTGACAGCCCTCTCCATACAAGATTGGAATAATTGCCCCCATGAAGCCTCTTTTCAAATGCTAAGACTGGAAAATTCTCTCCTTTGCTCACATTAGTGGCAATAACCTTGGGTGGTTTTTAAACACAGCTGCTACCTCGACCCTGTTCAGATGAGGTTCTGAGTGTGTTGATGATTCTGTTGTTTGAGAGGTGTTTTTTTTTAAACATCTCTGGGAACTGGATGCTGGTGTCGAATTTGGGATTCCCGTACATTCTATGTGATGGAGAGGTGACACCCAGCATCTTCTTTCAGAATTGTTTGTTTGCATGTAGTAATGCATGAACATGTGTCTCGATGATCAGGAAATAGACATTTCCTGATCATCTAGACATATCCAGATCCTGTGCTGAAGGTAAAAGGACAAAGATGAGTGAAACTTGCACCTACTCTCAAAGAACTGAGAGCCTAATGGGGCAGCCAGGTGGACAAGTGAATGGGTGTGACCACAGAAGTGAGCTCACCAAGTGGAGAGGTGGAGAGGGGAACTCTGGCCTCTGTTCATTTACCAGGCTGGCGATCTACATGAGAGGCATTAGGGAACACCAGGTTCCTATTCTCACCACTCTCCATAAGACACCCAGAAATAAATGCAGATGAATAAATAAAAGAATCTAATAATGTCAACATAAGCTTTCGTAAGACAAAAAAAAAAATGCTCAAGTAAATGTGGAAACTGATAAATGAGGTGGTCTTATCTTGTACTTCTGTGGCACTCAGCAGGTTGCAATTCTCTTTATCTAGAAAGAAGACAGTCCTACCCCACTAAACCAGAGTCAAGGAAGCAAAATCTGAGAAGTACACCTGGGTTCATGGTTCATCTGTGAGAGCCAGAGGCACCCCGGCTCACAAATAGCCATTGGGCTGGGCGGTCAGAAGCACTGAGCTGTGTCTCAGGGAAAAGGGAGTCTCGAAAGAAGGCAGGTGCTTGCTCAGCAGGATAATTGGAAAGGGAGCTCTGGGGACAGCACAGCCATCCCTAGAATCACACAAGCTCTGGTGGCCCCCAAACTCTTGCTCCTTCAACTAAGCTGCCAGTCCCCTGGGGGGGAACTATAGTACATAAATGGTGCATTATGGAACTGAAGAACGAGTCTGAGCTTCTTAGAATTGGGAAGGTCCTTGGAGATCATAAGCTCTCTATTTTAAAGATGGGGAAGAATCGGGTCCAGAGAGATGGAGAGACTGGCCCAAAGCAACACAGCCCAATTGACTGTAGAGTGATCACTGATTCAGGAGGAATACAATTTGGCACTCTCCACTAAACAGATAGACTCCTCAAAATGAATTTGTTCTTACCTTCACTGAATTTCCATGGTATATCCAATTATGAATTATAATAGGGACATGGAAGGACAGTCATTATCCCTATTGTGTTGATATTTCCTCCCTTGGCCATTGCATTTCTAGTCCTTTACAAATGGTACTCAAAAGCGAGGGACATTGCATTTGGCTAAAGATAACCACAAGGGGCCATGTCCAAGGACACTGCATTTGAGATGACCCACCTTGAGCACCAATCAGAGCAGAGATTCAGAGCATCTGCAGGAAGTAGCGCACATGGTTGGGATCTTACCTGGGATGCTGCTGGCTGTCCGATGACAACCCAGCCTGGGCACTGTTGGTCCTGATGAGACACTGAAGCATTGGATGCCCACTGATCCAGGAACCCCTGAGGTGTGTAGACGCCACAGTCTTTAATGCTAGTCTTTTGTTCAAACTCTTCACACACCCCGTCCCCATCATGGAAATAGCACCGGCTGGGTTCATCTGCAGGAGATGGACATAGAAGGGGAAAGAATAGATAAATATTCGTTCTTTGGTCTCAGTTACCATCAGCAGCTAGGAGATTAGACCACCAAAGCCATGTCATGGCAAGCCCATCACTCTGAGTCACAATGGAATATTCTCCAGCCTTAAGAGGTAAAAAAAAAAAAAAGGAAATTCTCTTATACACAATGATGTGGCGAACATTATTGTACGTGAAACGAGTCAGTCGCAGAGGCACACACTGCATGCTTCTACTTCTATGAGGGGTCTGAAGTAGCAAAACTCATAGAAGCAGAGCGAAGAATGGGTATCACCATGGTATGGAGAGAGGTCAAGGGAGGAGCTGTTCACAAATAGGGAGCTTCGGTGAAGCAAGATGAAAACGATCCAGCCCCATGTTGGGCAGACAACAGACATTTATTTTACTCTACACTAAAATATGTTAAGAAAGCAGATTTCATGTTTTGTCATATACACACCCAAAAGTTCACACTTCCACCTTCATTACCCCCAAGTAAACCTCACAACCACCTCATGAGGAAGGTATCATATTTTATGACTCTTTCAATCTTTCTGATGAGGAAATGGAGCTCCTGTGGGGCTTTAATAACTTGCCCGAGGGTCACAGTGTGCAATAATGCCAGACCTAGGACTCCGGGTCAGGCGTTCACTTTCCAAGTTCTGGGTGCATCATCTGATACCACAGGACTTCATAGTTGCAAATTGGCATTTATTTAACTCCAAAGAGGATTTCAGTTTTGCATAAAGAATGAACTGGCTTCCATCCCAGTACTGAAACTAAATTGCTCTGTTATGTTAGATGAGTCTCTTTCTTGCTCTGGACTCAGTCATCAAGGGAGAGGGGGTTAGAATACTGGAATCCAAGAGCCCTTTCTGTCTAATGCCTCTAAGGACTTGTCAGATACCTTTGGAGGTTCTGCTAAAGACCAAGAGAATTCTCAAGCTCCTGTGCAATTCTAACCACAGCAAGGTGTCGGCTTGGCATGGTTTAAAGCTGCCACTGGCTACAATACTTCTCACTTAGCTGCAAGGACAAGGATCACAGAAGCACAGAGCTAGCAGCAGGATGCCTTCTGAGCAGGTACGGACTATGCATGCTTCCTGGCATTTGAACATAGACTGTTACAATGAGAAGCCTGGCTGTGAGCATCTGAAAGCGATCACCCAGGCACCTTTTAATAATTCTAATGTCAGCAAAGAAAAACTCCCCTTCCTGGGTGGGGGTTATTTTGTAAAGATCTCGACCTCAACATGCTGCCATTAGTTTTACATGCTACTAGCTCCTCCAAAGGATTCTAAATGGGGGTCTCTACCCAGTACCGTAGGGTTGCCATACATTGACAGTGATGGCCGTGCTATTAAAGACCATCTTCAAGTGATCTGGCACAGATCCTGAAAAAGCTGTATATCCCAGGCAAATCAAAATGTAAGGTCATCCAAAAAATAGTGCTTGATCTGAGTCATCCTTCCCCCATTGACTCCAAAATAACCGAGTGGAGCTCTGGAAAGGGCACTGAATTGAAGGCCAGAAACCCAGGTTTGATTTCTGTTCCTTACATTTGCTGTGAAGCTCTGCCTAACCAGCTTTGCTTCTGGGTCTCTGGCTCCCCATGTATAATGTAGACATGATAGTCCCAGCCAGGGTAACCATAGAACTCACACAGGAAATGAACATAAATGTGTTTTGTTCATTCTAAATAATCATCAAGAGAAAAAATAATACTCTTCTTCTCAGGGGTTGATTTGTTCCTAAGTGAGTGAATTAAATCAACTTGTGAAATGAGTACTCCCTTGAAATATATTCAAACAACATTCTCCCAACTAGGCAGAGCTGGGGTCAAGGAGAAAATAAGACTTGAATTTCTATGCTGCTGACTATCTGAAAAAGAAGTCACTAAATTTGGAGGCAGCAGAATGTTGAGTCCCTTCCAAGCTCCCAAATCCCTTGTTTATTTCTGCAAACAGTTTACATAGTGAAATACCATCAAAAGAGCCAGAATAAATCAATTCATTATAATACAATTATTTAAGCCTGGGTCTGAGCCAGATGAGGACTCCAGTGTCCAGTAGCGTGCCTGGCAGTACAAACATGGAAAGAACACAGGCGCAGCACTTCTCAGTAGCCCCGACCTCTTGGTGACTGTGGCCAGCTCAGATACAACAAAATTTAGGGCCAGTCCAAGAATGATCAGCCATAAATCCAGACTTTTCTCTCTAAAATCCAATAAAGGGGACTGCAAAGAGCAAAGGTTTTTGACGTTCAAATGCTACCTCTGTCACACATGAGCCGAGTAGGACTTAAAATAACCTCATCTCTCTGTGAACATTCCTTTCCTTATCAATGATAATAATAATAATAATGATATGATGAGGTTCATTTATGTTATTGTAGTGATTATGTGAGACAATATGCACAATGTCAGCCCTCTTGCCCATTTTTTCTAATGGAAAACTGAGAGCTACAGGAATTACAGCTCTGCTTCTAGACCAGAGGGAGATGCTACCAGAGCTAAGAGTTGGAGTCTGGTGTTTTACATCTCAAAGAAAGACCTTCCCTACACACAGTCCCTATGGTGTTGGAAATATAACCTATAAGGATAAGATCTGGGGGTGCCTGATTCTTGGAACCTCTTTTGTCCTCTCTCTAATAGAGGACAAATAGGGAGGAATGCTAATAAAATCATATAAAATCTGTTCTTTCATATGACTTAGGTCCTTTCCTTAGCAGAGACCTCTCAGTGGCCAAAAGTGGTACCAGAGGTCAATTATCACGAAAGCTGATTTCTTCCTGATTATTTTGAAGGCAACCATAAATCTGTCTGCTTGGAACTGGCAGAACCTGAGAACGACGGGAGGTAAGCAGGTGCATAGGTAGGTAGATGTGTGGATGAATGATGGATGGAGAGGTAGACAGAGAAAGAATCAAAAGAGAAAAAAGAGGCAGCATTAACAAGAGAAGGACAGAGAGGGGAGAGAGATGGGGGTGGCTGGTTTCTTCAGTATTCTGCTGACAAAGCTATTCCGTATCACTTTAAAAAAAAAATAAAATATCATCCTTGGACTCTGCTGTTCAGTTTCTCTTGCTACTAGTGTCCCCAGGGCCCTTCAGCTCCATCTGCCAGTCCTTCTCTGGAGAATTCTCTCTCCCTTTTTACTCCCTCTGCCCCAAGCACTGAAGAGAACAGGGTAAGGAATGGAATACAAATGTGTGGCCCGGAAAAACAAAGACAGCAACAACCACACAATAAAACAAAACTGGTCTTCTTGTTTTCATTACGTCATTTTACTTGGTGCTCTTTGAATACTTTATGCTCAGAGCTGAGCAGGTTTCTGTCAAGAACGGGAAGTCAGTACCAAGGTCAACGAATCACCTTGCCTTCCATATAGTAGCTAGGTGGCATTCATAATAATATATTCCACTGGGAGAAGAACTGTGAAGACTGCACACATGTACACATAAAAGTGTCTGGAAAACCTAACAGACTTTCAACAGATATTTGCAGAATGAATGAATGACGACACTTTGGCATTGCTGATTTACACCTTCCTGTGCAAGCATAGTTTAGACTGCACCCTTTGGAAATGTGTCTTAAGACTGAAGGAGAATGAGCTACCCATAGGTGCTGGCTTACTGTGGGCCTGCATTGAGCAGACTGATCTTTCCATCTTGCTCCATCTTCCCCTAGCATGAGGAATTAAGTTCCGCATTTCAGAACAATCCCCTTACAGGTGGAGACACATTTAGAAATGTGCTCTACCATGCTAGGAAACTTGATGCGGGTGGGGTGGCATTCACCTTGTCTTTCCCACTTGGGTGTTCATATGCCAGAAACTCTTTTCCTGTTTTTGGAAGAAATGAGCTCAGCTGAAGAGCCGAAGCAGATGGACTCTCTAAGTGGACACACACAGCTGATGCAACCCCTCATTGACTTAATTTTCAATTTTCATCTTTCTGGAGCATCAAGATGAAATAATATGACTGAAATGACATGCCTGCATTCCTGAGGCGTATCCGAAGGCCACAATTTGAGATAGGCAGAGACTGTGACATCCATTGGAATGTTTGGAAAGCCACATCTAAGGGAAATGACACAAGTTAACCTTAAAGAATAAGCGAAGACTGAGGTTAGAGTTATAGTGAGAGTTCTTATCCTTGAAGTCAGAAAACTTGGATTCAAGCTACTGACTTATCTTGATTTATTGGTTAATCTTGGTCATGACATTTCACCTTCCCGTATCTCACTTTCTCCATCTATAAGTGGAAATAAGATTACATTTTAGACATCTTCATTAAGATGCTGAGTATTATCAAATAGTGTAAGAGACCAAGAGGTGTGAAAATGGAAATGGTCTCCAAGACACAAGTTCTACATTTTACAACAATAATACAGGGATGAGGTAGGAGGCAAAGGAGGTTTTCTTAATCAGAGATCCCCCTTTCATCTACCCAGGCATAGATCCTAAGGAATCTTCAGGGATCAAAATGATCAAAGAGGGTGCATGGACTGTTTTTCATATAAATGGAAAAAGACACAAGTAAGCCAGCAAAGAAGAAAACCAACAACAATCTAAAGAAAATAATATAATTGCTTATATACTGAAGTCATCTCAACACAATTGGGAGACTAATTAACTTAGATGGGAAACTTTGATAGTATATGATATCCCCCAAATCCCTCAGATGAATGAATGAAAGAGCAAGCTGAAGGGCCCATACTTGGAGAAGAGAGGAAACAGTTAAATTACTCATGCCTTCCCGTCGCCCTAGGTATGGATTTCACAGGGGATTTGCCTTCACAATGGCTCTCACCAGTTTTAGGAGCTGGACAAGACACGGGCATAAGTTATAGGTCACTGATAAATTAATGTGAGCCAATGTGTTTGTCAAAGGCCCAAGATAATGAGCATTCTTTAGGATAGTGGTTGAGTTTAGGGTATTTTGGCTCCAAGTCTTCTGCCTAAAATAAAAAAGCTACCAT